GTAATATAAAAACAAAAAAGCATAATAAATATTACAAACCTTGGCATGCAGCATATCCTAAGCATATTGTGCACTAAAAATTTCATTTTTGTTAATTACAATGCAACCACATCAGAAGGTTTTTGCCGTACTTTATGTTTAGATGTAATTTGTCTCCTTCTCTCTTATGGAAAAAGAAATTATCCCCATATTCTTGCTTGGCAGATCTAAAAATAAAACCTGAAATAAATATGTTTTACTTGCTCCATATAAACTGTAACTACCTACATTTAAAACAAAGTCTTACCTTTGTGACTTTTGTAAACTGAGTATTGTTAAAAAATGCAGTAATCATCTCGGTAATCATATTTTCGTTTACAATGGGAAAAATACTTGATTCAACTTTTATAGATACAGCTGATAAATTCATATTCTTCTTCCTTTATTGTGCTATATCCCACAGGATAATTTACCCAGATAAATTCAGATTAATAATAAAATTAAACCAAAACAAAAAACTAAGGTTAGATGTTACTGATGTTAGGAGGTGTCACTTTTAATGTCACTTAGATGTGCGTTCACTTCGACATTCTGTGTGTTGGTTTGTTCGTTGGCTTGGTTTTGTATAACAAAAAAAACTTCGACACAAGATGATTGGTCTATTCCCGATGACGTATAATTTCAAATTTTAAATTTCAACTGGGCTTAATTTAAAAACTTTTGGCTTTTTTAACTAACTGACTATTTAGAATAACTTGTATAGCGACTAACTATTACAATATAATTTATAAAACAGCATATCTCACATGTGAACATGGCCCATTAAAGTAATATTTAATAAAACAACCAAAAAAATAATATAAAAATTGATTATATATTGTGCAGCGACCCCTTCGGGGACGCTGACAAGTTGAAAACATATATCCGATTAAAGATATAGTAAAAATTTATTAAAAGTCTAAAAAATAATTTAAAAATAGATTAGACGGGATGTTTCGTCCGGAAATCTCTCATACGAAATTTATCCGAAAAAAAATGGCGCCCGACGAAAAATCTGTGTGCGTGGTGAGTAAGAGAAGGACAAAGGGTGTTTAGAAAAAATAATATAAAAAATGATTTGTTTTTAATAAAACGTCGAAAAACGATAAAGAAATTTTCAAAACATCATAAAAAAGTGACAGTTGATACCAGATAAAAAATTCCTTCTTATCAGTCATTTAGCATATTTTGTGCGTCTGTTGTTTATGCATACTTCCTTCCACCGTACACCCAATTCTCAGAAAAAAGACACGGATTTTTGCACGATTTTTGTACGATTTTTCAAGGTTTTTCGCGGTTGTCATGGAAACCAATAAGCAAATTATTTGTTTTTAATAAACCATCGAAAAACGATAAAGAAATTTTCAAAACGTCATAAAAAAGTGACAGTTGACAAGAGACTAAAACATACCTTCTCATCAGTCATCTACAATATCTTAAGCGTCTGCCGTTTATGCATACTCCCTTCCACCGTGCACCCAATCCTCAAAAAAGGGACAGGCAGGATTTTTGCACAATTTTTCAAATTTTTCGCGGTTTCGTGGGTCTACACCTAAGGGTCAAGTTTCATGGAAATCGGTCCATCCGTTCGAATGGTACGATTTTTTTTGTGATTGTGGAAACCTTATTTTACTAATAAAAGAAAATATTTACAGCCCTTTCAAATGTATTATTAACTGCCCTCAAGAAAATAACTTTTCTTTTTGCCTCTAAATAGGCAAATATCTTCAATCCACGTAGAAACGGGTCTTTGGAGGAAGTCCTCATCAATTTTTAATCGAGATAATAAATTTTTATTTTTGACAGACACAAAATCACTTAATGATTTTCCTGCAACAATAAATAAGGTAGTATTATTATCAGTTTAGTAAAAACATTATAAAAAATAAATGTATTCCTACTTACCATACAAATAATCAGACATATCTTCTTTCGATGGAATGTTTTTTCCAGAATCATACAAACTCTCTCTTTGTAAGTTCAGTGCAATATTTCCCTTGGTTTGTTTATCAACTTCATCATCAAAGAGTAATACAATGGCAATTTCTTCTGACAAGTACCAAAGATGTTGAGTAAACTTGCTCAGGGTTGCTTTGGAGATCAACTTTTCAATAGTTTCATATTCCTCAAGCCTCTTTAAAAAGCACAAAACTTAATTTGGTGCATTCATCGCCAGATAACATTGAAGCCATGGTTTTACATATACCGGGTGTCCGCGCGAAAACTTTAAATGGAATTATTTCTGGTGTTTTAAAATTTATCGACTTGAAATTTTGGAAGGTCATTAAGGAAGTAGGGGGTAAATTAATAGTGTATAAGATACCACTCCAACGTGATATCTGCCGCCCCCATCCACCCCCGGTTCAAAAGTTTAAATGACACCCTGTATTTTTTTTACATATTCTGAAAGAGCGTAGTTTTTTAGTATCTCCATGTGAAAAAATTACTTAATTACATAATGAACTTTGAAAGATATTTACAGCTAAAGGTTCAGATACCAGATATTCAAATATCGAATGCAAAAAATAATAGCAAGCCATGAAAGCTGCTTCGTTGCTTGAACTGTCAAATAATATTGTTTGTGACACTTCTGTTTACTCGTTAGTACAAAAGTTTTTGAAAAAATTTGACTTAGTTTAAATTAAATAGCTAAAAAAATAGAAAAATGGTTTACAGTTTGGAAGAAAGAACTGAAATTGTAGTTTTATATGGGATTGCAAACAGAAACTATTCGCAGACGGCAGCATTATTTAACGAAAACCATCCCAACAAAAATGTATCTGCTGTTTATGTAATTAACCTAATACAAAAATTCTTTGAAACTGGATCGGTAAATAATAAAAAACGTGATATGAATATTCGTGGAGCACGAGATGAAGCAACGCAAGTTGCAGTTTTTGGTCACGTAAATTTAGACCCACAGCTTTCAGTTAGAAAATTATCAGAAGCTTCGGGAGTGGCGAAAACAACGTGCCATAAAATATTAAAATTAAATAAAATGCATCCTTATAAAATACAGCTTCATCAAGAGTTGGGCGACGATGACTTCGATAGAAGAGTCCAATTTTGTGAAACTATGACAGGCATGATTCGGCAAAATAGAAATATTTTGCGAAATATTTGTTTCAGTGACGAAAGTTGCTTTTCCTTAAATGGTTTCGTAAATAGACATAATTGTCGATATTGGAGCGATGTTAATCCCCACGTTTTCCGAGAAGGCCATACGCAACGTCCCCAAAAAATTAATGTATGGGCTGGAATTCTAAATAACCAAATAATTGGTCCAATTTTCTATCACGAGAATTTAACTGGGCCTAGATATCTCGAGTTTTTAGAAGAATTAATACATCCTCTTATCATTCAGTGCTTGGAAGAAAACTTAGATCAAATGCAGAAGGATCAGTTATACTTTCAGCAAGACGGAGCTCCCCCTCATTACTGGTTAGAAGTAAGGCAATATTTAAATATCGTTTTTCCAGGACAATGGATAGGTCGTAGGGGTCCTATTGAATGGCCAGCTCGCTCCCCAGACTTGACCCCACTGGATTTCTTTTTATGGGGACATTTGAAATCTGTTGTTTACAGGACACCACCACAATCCATTGATCATTTGCGTAATAGAATCATAGAGGAATGTAGAGATTTAACACCACATGTCTTTGAAAATATTCGGAACGCTTTCGAGAATAGACTGTACTATTGTTTAAATGTAAACGGTGAACATTTGAACATTTGATTTAACTAAAAAAAGAAAAAGAGTCCTTACTTTAGTTTATAAAGCAAAATTTTGTTGGTCTATAAGAATACCTATTTTTGGGATAAGTTGTATTTTTTTGTGATAAGTTATATTTTTTTGGATAATTAGATTTTTTTGTTTTTATCTGCTTCAATTATTTAGAAATTTGTCTACTGTCCAAGGTTACTAGTTCTTTTTTTTAATATCTGGTTTTTTCACATAGATATACTAAAAAAAACTACGCTCTTTCAGAATATGCAAAAAAAAATACAGGGTGTCATTTAAACTTTTGAACCGGGGGTGGCTGGGGGCGGCAGATATCACGTTGGAGTGGTATCTTATACACTATTAATTAACCCCCTACTTCCTTAATGACCTTCCAAAATTTCAAGTCGATATATTTTAAAACACCAGAAATAATTCCATTTAAAGTTTTCGCGCGGACACCCGGTATAACCTCAATGAATAAACAAACTTCTTGAAGTGCTCGTTTATCCTTGGCGTTAATTTTAAACTGAAATTGCAACAAACATATTTTTAAAGAGTAAATAGCTCTAGCTATCCACCTAGCTTGATGCATCGTTTCAAAATAGTTCAATTAGTTCCCGATGATCGTCACGTACAATGTTTTTTTGCAATTCTTGATTATAAAATGTTAATAATTCTTGTACTTTTGTATAACAAAAATGTCATGTGACGATATTGGTGTAGGTTTCGATAGCAGCAAGATTAATAGTTTTCCAGTTGTCTCTAAACTTTTTGAACATTGTGATATCCGGGCTACTTGTGATTTAGTGGAGTACTAACTCCCTGTCTAGTTTTTATTCCAAAAGTACACAAGCTCCTTTCAATCGCCCTGTATTAGACGCAGTTGTGTCACAACACATTATTTGTACTTTGTCATTGAGGTTCCAGTCATAAAGTGCGTTTAACACAGATTTAGCTTGATCTTGATCAGAAAAGCTCTCCGGTTTAGACACAGCCAGAAGTTGTTGCTTTTCTCCAAATGAAATTAGAATTGCCAGTCGTTTTTCTTTAGAACTTCTCACATCCATCCCAGTGAACGATCACCATTTTAGGCATATTATTCTGAAAATCTTTCCTACTCTGTGTGCGAATGCGTTGAATGGACGATTTTTTAATCGCGGAATCATCACAGCTAAGATCTAATGCTTCTACTACAGCCTGAAATATATAAACAGAATCTCTTTTGCTTAAATGACACCTATCTAAAGCTGCAACTAACTTAGGCGTGACAAAGTATTTCCTTTCTCTTTTTGTTGTAGTTCCAGAACCGTTTGAGAAGTGGATGGCAAGGGTTACTCAAGGCTTTAATCAGAGCTGGTAGGTTGATCGTAATGTCCTTACGTTTATATAAAATATTGTGTTGTAAGAGATAACGGTAATCTCCCGAAACACATTTTTTCTCTTCTTTTAATTTTCTCTGACTAGCCCTTTCTTTTTTCTCGGATAACTTCTTGTCTACACCCGCTAAACATCCTGGACGCCCTCCTGGTTCTCTTTGTTTTCGTAAAAATAATTTATCTTCTTCGATTTTCATCCATTCCAAAGTATCAACGTGTGCTATATCGAATAAATTATTCAAATTGTTTTGAAAGTCCATCGCACGGCGCTTGTAAACATCTTGTATTTTTTTGGACTTTTGCAACTTCCTCAAAGCACGGTGAAGATCCACAAGTTTTTTTAAATAGTTAGGTATAGCTCTGATAGGGATTCTAGCTTTTTCCCAAAAAATAATACACTCTCGAATGACGAGATTTGCGGTTTCACTAACAGTCAAGTTTGCTACCCGACATAAATACAAGAGAAAATCCAAGTTAATTTTCTGCTTTCTGGTGAACTTTTACATATTATGTCACAACAAAAAGTTATATTTTTATATACCAGTGTTATCGACCGTTCCTCGTAGGGCTTATCGGTATTTTAATGAAAGAAATTCCTTTTGGGTAAAAGGTATGTACTAATGTGTGGGAAGTACAGATGAAACTATCCGATATGCGTGTATTTTAGTTTTACAACTTTTGGTCGAGAAAAGTGTGAACGTTTCAAAATATTTTTAATTAAGATAATGTAACGATGCGATTGGCGTTTTTGTTTATGGATAATGGCTTAGGAATATTTTTATAGGTTAGATAGATTTCAGGCGGTGTCCAAAAAAGGGATTTGGATGTGTAACGTGTATCAACTAGAAATTTATTTAGAAAATTATCAATGTCTCGTAGTAAATAAAAAATAAAACCAAAATTATGCTTTTTTATTTCTTAAAAATGACATAAATTAAATGAATAAATGCAATTTTATAACTATTATAAATAATTTACAATAGATATATTATAAAAATGTTTTGTACATAATATAATTTTCCAACAAAAATAGAAGGTAATGGTATTGTTGGTAATAAATATCTCTGAGCGATTTAAATACCAAAAGAACGAAAGCGTAGAAGAGAGAGGGGGCAAGTAAAAAAATGGGTTAGACAAAAGTAATTTACTATTTCTTAATTAACAACATAGGATATTTAAAAAGTTATGATTGCTTTTAAAAAACAAAGCAAAAATTAAAATACGGTATTTTGTAGAATTAATAAATTTAAGAACTCTACTTGAATTTTTTTCTTCTAATTTTACAGAGTGAGTGGTAAGAGACTGTTTACTAAATCTGGGACATCTGGTGTTTTCATTGTTGTTAATTATTTATATTTTTTCTTTCATAGGAAAATTCGCAATGAGGACATAAAATATGCTTGTCTTAATATTTTAAAATTGCAATTTGATTACAATTTATAGAAATTAGAGGAAAACGAAAAACAATATACCCACTTCGGTACGTTATACACGGTAAATATTACTTAAGTACCTACTTCAGATCCATTACCCACTTCCTTGTTAGGACTAATAGCAACTTCTTCATTTTAATATTGACGATATTTGTTTTTCTATTACCGCAATACTAATACGAGGTTGACACGAGATGTGACATTCGATACCCTCTACCAGGACGATGACGATCCTACAAATGGTTTAGAATAAATCCAAAGCAGATATTCCAGGAATGTCATAAATGCGACATTCTTGCACTATTAGGATCAATTTCACTTGTTTAACCAGAGGCGTACAAGTTATTGTACCGTACATACTAATTTTATTGACAAAGAATGTTTTTTGTTAGGCGGGAATTCTTTCTTTATTCGTAGTTCACAAGGAGCGGTTAGCGCGCTGCGAACACTAAAATATAAACCCGTTTTACACTCATAAAAAATACATTTTCAAAAATAATGAAGAAATTATTAATTTTACTAAAAGAATCCTTTAAATTTCACTTTAATACAATGTATGATTAAATACAAGGACAATCGTTAATAAATGTAAAGTTAAAGCATTATTTAAATATTATTGTGTAAATCTGGCTTTGGTAATAAATTAGGTTATGCTGCCTAAAAAATATGTCAGTTTGATATTTTTGTGGAAAATGTAGATAAAATTTAATTAATTTAAGTATTTTATTTATAGTTTACAGTAAAAAAATAGTGAGAATAGTACTAATATTAAATTAGATGAATATTTTTCAGAGCTGTCATCATCAAATCACCTTCCTAAAATAAATATAATTAGTAATGTATTAATTAAACCATCTTGTTCAAATGTAACTTCAGCTAAAAGAAAGCTGGACTTTTTTAATGATAAATCTGAATATGTTGAAGAACCTTCAGTTAAAAAGCCACGTGTAAGAAATGGGAAATATAATGGGATATAAAAAACATTTAATTGTTTGAATCGCTATCTTATCTGGTCAGTAATATGGGTAAAGTTATTTTTTGCTATTTTGAAAAATATGATGAAACAATGTATCTTAAAAAGTGAATTTTTAAAAATATCAAAAACGAAAATACAATCAATTACTAAATTCAATCCATTCGGTTTTTCTGAGGTTACTTTTGGAGATAAGTTGAAAAGACAGCATTTTTTAAGCGTTTTTTGAAAAACTAACAAAGAAAAGATAAGGACGTAAATACCTTCTAAATGGAAGAAGATAGAGACATGAAACAAAAACAAGGTAAAACTAGAGAGATATTATGATATATTTGTTTTAACGAGATGCACTTTACTTCAGGAATAAGATAGAGGGCGTTAATATCTTTAAATTTTCTAATAGAAAGTAGGGTCATGTGATACCTGATTTGAAAGATATTTTCATTATTAAGTCTATCCAAACGTTTTAGGTTTTTTAATGTTTTTACAGAAATTACATTAAATAAATTAATGAAGTAAGTTACATTCTTGATAATCCTCGTATTTACCATTATTGTTTTTACCTAAGAAAATGCTTTTAACCATTTAAAGAAACACAATATTAACTAAAATAAATTAAGAATATCAAAGGGGATCGAAAAACCACTTAAAGATATTAAATGTTTAAAATGATCTCTCATAACTTATTGGCAATAAAAAAGCTTAAAAAAATACCTTGTAACATTGTCTAGTATTTCTAGGATTATTGCGACACACGAGGATTATCAAGAATGTAATTTTTGTAAAAATATAATAAACCTAAAACTGTTTGAATGGACGTCAAAATAATGAAAATATCTTTCAAACTAGATTTCGCATGACCCTACTTTCCATTAGAAAATGTAAAGATAATAACGCCCTCTATCTTACGTCTCAAGTAAAGTGCATCTCGTTATAACAGAAATATCATAATGTCTGTCTAATTTCACCCAGTTTTTGTTTTCTTTTTCCACTTTAAAGTTAAAAGGGGGCCCAATTTACGTCCTTACTTTTGGAAACATTCTTCAAAATGCTTCAATATGCTTTCATTTGATATTACACGATGGCATCAGAAACATGCTAACTTCCAATAATTTATTACCCCCAACTGACTTCCAAGGCACAGTATTTATGTTTTTAGTTAACGTCTAATTTGGGCCACCGATTACTTTAAATTTCAATTGTAAAACGACTGTGACATACGGGTAGACATGGGGGTCTATTCTGTAAAATTTGGTTAAAATTAACACTGGTTTATAAAAATAACTGTATGTTATTTTTAGTTTTGTATTCTGTATTTTTCGATTAAAATTATAGCTTATATCAATAAATCTTGTAATGATTCTCTCAGGGGTGGTTTTTCCATTGGTTTATTTGTGCAGTGGAAACCCAGTTACATTTCATAAAAAGACATTATTTTAAAATAATCGGTAGTGACAGACCTAATTAAAGAACACTCCCTTGTGAAATTTAAGGAAAGGTGGGATGAAACAAGAAACTGCAGAGTTTTCAGGGAGCTTTTAAGTTATCCTGACAACACTGTAGCATAGACAGAATCAGCACCTGTTCACAGGCATTCTGACAGGTCATTGCTAAGTATGGAAGCACCTCCATATCAAAGGGCTGTAAGAATCTGCAGGGTGTGCGAAAAAGAAGATGAGACTATCGAACATATCCTCTACGATTGCCAGACGCTCTCATTTAATAGAAGTTTTGTGTTCGGCGAGAACTGGTTAACACCGGCCGATATTAAAGAATAAGTACCTCTTGGCGGCGTTGTCAACTACATTAAATCTGTAGACTGGCTCACCAGCTAGAAGGTACCTATCATTTTAGGAGGATGCACAAGGGGCCTAGTGAGGCCTACATGCCGTGGGATAACCCATCCTTCACACGTTACAGATACAGATAGTCTTCTGACTGAACCTTATATATTTTTTATTTTTTATCAACACTCTTCAATTTATCGTTTCAAACGCCCGTGTCAGATCTACAGAAACACTATCACATTATTATTAGTAATTTCTCTCCATTTTAAGTACACTAACTGAATCTTATATGGTCACTGTGACCAATTTCTTTAAATGGGATTTCATAATAAGATGGAAATTGTGTATTGTCGTGGTCATAATACCTATGTGCAGAATTTATAAACTTTAAAATGCTAAACTCCAAAATTTGCCTATATTGTGACATTCACATAGGAGGCATTAAAATAACAACAAACAAGTGAAAAGTTGTGTCTGTCCAATACCTCACATTAAATTTCCATTAAGGAAAGAAATATAATTTCGTTACTAAAACAAAATGTTCTTGCATAGTCTGTCTGTTGACATATTTTAACAGAATTTAATCTTCGATGGGGGTCAGTTGAAAGTAATTTGTATGGGTAAAATTTTGTTTTAGTGAACCTGAACACCCTTTGTACTGTACTTTTTTTACCATTACTACATTGCAAATTTACAATCTACTCAAAAGTATACAGAGCAAAGGGTTTGTTATCTTGTTAAGTGGCATCATAAGGGCACCATCCATCGATGGGTCTTCAGGGTTTACTCTAAATGGTCTTCTAGCCAGTGATGATTTAGTCTTCTGTATTCGATAGGATCAGTGTATGTACAGGTTAGATGTCAGTGAATTTGTATAATTTGCATTACTAGTTTTGTTTTTGTTGGCTAATGTCTGGATAACTTCATTGATGGTAGGAATGCCAAGATCATTATGTATTGTTTGGTTGTACACGAACCATGGTACATTAGCTATCGTTCGAAGTGTTTTTGATTGGAATATTTATAATATTTTGATATTCTATAACCCCTTAGCTCTATATCATATG